GTGACAGCACACACAGCGGAGCTTCCCCAGCCTCGGTGCCCAGCGGTTTTGTTTGCATGGATCACATGCTGTCTGGGTGGCTGACCTTCAGCTCCCAGCGCCTGCAGAGGTGGAGGGGCTCCCTTGTGGCCCAGGCCGCTGCCCTACATCACGTTCTTAGGTTGCCTGTGGGGCCTAAGGCGCCTACTCTTGGAGATGAGGCCAAAGGCCAGGTGACTTCTTCACTATGCACAGGCGTACCCAGTGCTGAGGCTTTTGATGTTTGGTACCAGACACTGTTTGAGGAGTGGCCGCTGCTCGCTGAGGGTGGGAGGAGGCTGGATCTGGCCGTGTGCCGCAGGCCTGGCTGGTGGTGGGGTGAGCTGGCAGTGAGCTCACGGGTGTCTTGCAGACGCTGACTCTATCACGCCTGGGCAGTGTTGCGGCTGTGAAGTTCTGAGCTTGCCAAAAAGATGGAGACACGAGTGGGATGTCACTCGAACTCAGTGTGGGCTCACTGTCCAAGAGGTCGTGTCTCACTTTGAACTTGGAGAAAGGGGACGTCCAGTCAGCCTGTCCGCTGTCCCCGGTTCCTAACAGCCAAGTTTCTTCACTGTGCTGGAAGCGCGGAGGCCCGGGGCTCCTGCAGGGGTCGTGACTCCTCCAGAGGGATGGGGCCTCGCTCCTGCCATCACGCGTGGTCCGAGGACGGAGGAATCTAGACTTCTCTCCGCTCATGTTGCCTGTGGCAGTCGGCTTCTCGGAGGAGGTCATTTGAGGGCAGGAGCTCCTGAGTGAGGGCTCGTGCTGGGCGCAGACACCGCTGCAGCCTGTGCGGGTGGCCGGGCCTCTTCGGCCTTGTTTGCAGGTGCTTTGCCAAGAGGGAGATGTCTTGCGTGCTGACTCATCCTTTGAAGGTCATGTGCTGGTGTGATTCTCTGTATGTAAACACCTGATCAAACACCGGGAGGCTGGTAGTCCCGGCACTTTGAGAGGCCAAGGCGAAAGGATCTCTTGAGGCCAGCAGTTCAAGGCCAGTCTGGGTAACATAGTGAGCTCTCATCTACAAAAAACCGAAAAGCACAGTCCGAGAGTGGGCAGTGCAGCTAGTTTATGTATTCCCAATCTGAAATTCAAAATGCTCCAGAATCCAGAAGCTTTTGGCATAGACAAGGTGCTTGAAGGACATGCTCAGTGGAAGGTTTTGGAGTTTTGGATTAGGGATGCTGAGCCAGTAAGTATTTGCAAATATTCCAAAAGCGGAAAAAACCTGAAGTGCAGAAGCACGTTTGGTCCAGAGCACTTGGGACGAGGGATGGGCAGCCTGCGGCATGTGGGTGAGGAACAGCGGCTGGCTCCTGGCAGTGTCCCTTGAACTGTGCATTCCTCTCTTTTTTTTTTTTTGGCAGTGGGGGCGTCTCTCTCTGTTGCCCAGGCTGGAGTGCGGTGGCATGGTTTCGGCTCACTGCAACTTCTGCCTCCTGGGTTCAAGCGATTCGCCTGCCTCAGCCTCCTCGGTAGCTGGGATTATAGGAACAAGCTACCATGCCTTACCTAATTTTTGTAGTTTTAGTAGAGACAGGGTTTTGCCACATTGGCCAGGCTGGTCTTGAACTCCTGCCCTCAGGTGATCTACCCACCTCGGCCTCCCAAAGTGCTAGGATTACAGGCATGAGCCACCATACCTGGCCTGCTCTTGGTTTTGAAAGTGACATTAGCCGTGTCACTTCGTATAGAAACATTTGCCTTAGGTGGTGTGGAAGACAGACCATGTGATTTCATGCAGTCCAGGCAGCAGAGACAAAATCTGGCCTCAGCCGTGTGGCCTGGGATTTCCTGACCTTGGCGCAGGCTGCACGTTGCTGCCCCCACTTTCTCTAGGTAAGCTGCGGGACAGTGGGTGAAGGTGGGAAGTTAACTGCCGCTTTCAACATCAGTTGGCAAATTCCTCAATACCTTTTTTTTTTTCTGGAGACAGAGTCTTACTCTGTCGCCCAGGCTGGAGTGTGCAGTGGCATGATCTTGGCTCACTGCAACCACCACCTCCTGGGTTCAAACAATTCTCCTGCCTCAGCCTCCCAAGTAGCTGGGACTACAGGCACAGGCCACCACACCTGGCTAGAGATGGGTTTTGCCATATTGGACAGGCTGATCTCGAACTCCTGACCTCATGATCCGCCCACCTTGGTCTCCCAGAGTGCTGGGATTATAGGTGTGAGTCACCATGCCCAGCCATTCTCAATATTCTTTTTAAAATTCCTTTAGCATTGTGGGTTTGTGAACTTTTCAGCATTGGGTGGAGTGAAATCTTTACCTTTTCTCAGTGGGAAATTGGAGGGGATTATTGAGGCAGGGGAGTTGTCCTGGGGCATGAGAGTGGGGCAGGGAAAGGGGCATAGGGTGAGGAGAGGACCGGTGTGAGTAGAACCACGCTGAGCTAGCAGGTGGCATCCTGCGGCTGGTCCACAAACATGGGGGCCACTCCCCATACGCGGAGGCTTTTTATGCACATTCCGGGATTGGGACACACCCTCTCCCCAGAGAACCGCCCACCCTTAGCACATCCGCCTCCGTTCCGTTTTAGGGCTTCCATGTGCTGGTGTGGCCTATGTGCATTTCCCTGAGACCCTGCACCCCTGCGGTACTCCCTGAGCTGGGTGAGAGCCCTGGCTCTGTCCGGTGGTCACTTTGTTACTGTGCTGCTGCTGGTAAGCTCCCGTTGAGGGGTTCTGAAGCACGGGCAAGATGTAGGTTTCGGGCAGCAAGGGTTCTTTCCCAGGTCGCAGTTGAGAGCCTCAGAGGCCAGAGTGCTTGCAGTCAGGAGGGTCTTGGCCCGAGGGACTGAGGCCAGGTTTTCCAAACAAGATGAGGACACAGGGTTACAAGTGATGCATTTGATTTTGACATGTGCATTTATGATGGAGAAATCCTCCCAGTGGAATCCGTGTTTCCGAAAATGCCCGTGAGAGCCACAGCAGCACGTGGGAAAGGCAGAGCCCGGGAAGCCATCGGATTGCCTCTGCCTGCAGGATGGAGAGAGAGCGCCTGGCTGCTGGACTGTGGGTGTCGGGGGGTGGGCTAGAGGAGGGCACTGGTGTCCTCGGTGCTCTGGAGGGGGCTCAGGGCTCAGCCACTGGACTCCTGGTGGAGGACAGAGGGGCCTGTGGAGACAGGTGCCTGCTTGCTCGTTCTGCTGGTCTCTGGGTGACGAACCCAGCCACTGTGGAGGGAGCTGAGACCCGAGACCCTGCACAGGCTGGGGGTCTGAATGTGGGCGGGGTTGTCCCTCCACTTGAGTGACAGGCTGGCCTGCCATTGGTCCAGTGGCCTGCCCCATGCTGTGACCTCCCTCAGATCCTAGCACCCAAGCCCATGAGCACTGCTGGCCCCCAAGCCCACGAGTATGGCTCAGCTGCGTACTAGAATTGATGCCAGGATAAGTCCAGCTGGAGAGGCTGGGTGGGAGCCCCCAGCTGGGGCAGGACGAAGGGACGAGGAGTAGTACCCTCCGCCGAGCTAGGCGGGAGGCGCAGTGTCGGGAGCCATCCCTGCCACATGCCATCCAGCCTGTGGGGGGATGAGCACCCTGAATCTAAAGCCATCCCCCTCCCCATAGGGTCCTCTTGGGCTGCCCCTCTGTGCCACCATGGTCATGTTTGTGGCAGCTGCTTAACGAGCCCATCAGACATCGGGGGCTGTGTGGCTGGTGCAGTGCGGGGCATTTGAGTTGCAGCACACCCTGAGAATTCTGATTCATCCTGCCCCAGAGTGCAGTTATGTTTCTTAGTCCCTGTTTTCTCCTGTTCACCCGCTGCGCCTCCCTTCGACCTCCCTGCTGCAGCTCCGCTGCTCGGCGGCGGGTGGAGGCTGGGCGCGGCTTCGGGTCTGCACCGTGGCCCAAAGGCCGTGGCGGCCTTCTTCTGTCCTTCTGTCCTTCTGTCCCTGAGAGAAACACAGGGGCCTTGTTGGGGACAGCGTTCCTGAAGCTTCCGTCTCCATTTCTGGCCGCAGTGGGCCGGGCGCCCCGTGCTTGCCTGCCTGGTGTTGGTCGTGTTTTGGGCGGTGGGCGCTGCCACAGCCCTGGAGGTGGGGAAGCTGGGCTGGCCGCCGTTCTGCGGTGAGGCCATGTGGCTAACTGCGTGTGTGGGAAGCTGTGTTACAACCCTGTCTATGTAAAACAGGACATGGGTCGCTGCCTTGTGGAGAGGATGTACATGCATACCGAAGGAGACTCGAGTAGACACGGTGTGGAGAATGATTGCCCCAGGAAGCAGTGGCCATGCGCCCTGGTTAAAGAGAGGGAGGGAACTGGGACTTTGTTTCTCACTGAACCAGCGCGCAGACATGCTGCGCCGTAAGTGGCGCATCCCTGAGTCTGGGTCAAGGTTGGATTCGTGCATGTACTGATCTGGATGTGCACTGGGGAGCGCAGGCCTCTCTCACGTGCTGGAGAGCGGTGCTTCCTCCCGAGGAGGCTCAGGTGCTGCCTCACGGCTGCCCTGGGCTGGGTCCTTCCTTCTGCAGGGCACGGGGCATGGCTGTCTGTCTGAGACCCTGGTCGGAGCTTCAGCAGTTAGTGTGCATCAGGGGAGCGGCAAGTCTGGGGTGCCCTGGAGGCTGGTGCCTGCCCTTGTCCCTGACGGTGGCGGTGTCTCTGGAGAGGGCTGGTGTCTCCCTCAGTGCACGATGAAGACTGGGGTCAAGGAACCGTTCCCCCGTTTCTTGCTGACAGTTTTCAAACACAGGAAAGTTGAGAATTTTGCCACCCATTTATCCACCACCTAGATCCCACCATCAGGAGCAATTTTCTTAAAGGAAAAAGTGGTAGAAGTAAATGTGTTGAAGACGTTGGCTGTGTTCCAGTTGTCAGCATTGCTGAATGTTTTTGGGCCCATCTTCAGCAGCTGCAAACAGCATATGGCCAGGCGCCTGTGCCTGCCACCGCCCACGCGGCCTGCTGGGCTGTCGGGGACCCTGCGCTGCTCCTGAAAGCTAATGGGGGCGTCTCTCTGGCCTTCTAGGACGGTGGCAAGGAGGTGTACGGCCCTGACCTTCACGGCCTCCGAGGAGAAGGTCTTGGTGGCCGACAAGTCTGGAGACGTGTACTCCTTTTCCGTGCTGGAGCCTCACGGATGTGGCCAGCTAGAGCTGGGGCACCTGTCCATGCTGTTAGATGTGGTACGTGGGGGATGCGATAATGTGGGGCACAGCTGAACCAATGTCTGCCCGGCCTGTGCCCCAGCATCTGGCGGGGAGAATGGGGCTCTCCTGTAGCAGGGACAAGCCCTCTGCAGATTTGGGAGCAGGAGAGTGCTGGGAACAGGATTTAGGAAGGTGAAACAGACAGCAGGGAGAATGAAGGCAGGTGAGTCAGCGGGGTGACCCCAGGTCGGAAGTGAAGGTGTGGGAGAAGCAGGTACAGCCATGAGCCTCTGGCTCCACCTCCTTGGCCCAGGGCTGTGCCAGGTGCTTTAGGAGCATCACCTCGGCACTGCTCCCAGCAGCCCCTGTCACCCCACCCTGCCTGTCCCGTGTCACAGACTCCTGGAGCCCCAGAGGGCCCAGGCCCACAGCCCAGGTGGTAGAGTTGGGATGGGACACAGCAGGGACAGTCAGGAACAACGGCAGGTGCGGGGTGTCAGGGGCACCTCACTGGGACTTGGCGACAGCTGGGTGTGGGGACGCATGGGACAGGAAGGCGAGGAAGCAACCCTGGTGTTGGGCAGGAGGGTGCAGCAGGCCTGGGGTGGATGGAAATGGGAGTGTGGGGCCTGGATGTGCTGAGACGCGGGAGACAGATGGGTAGCTGTGGCATGGCCGCGCCCTGGAAGCCTGCTCTAGTGCTGAGGAGTGTGGGCTGGAGGCGGCCACGGACCGCCTAGGGAGGGAGGAGAAGGGCCAGTGATTAGACGGAGGGGCGGGAGGACGGGGGAGCCACCCTGGTGGGTGGCTCGAAGGCCGCAGCCTCTTGGCAGCTGGGCTGCAGGCTCCCTGCTTCCATGAGGGACTTGATTCGGGGAAGGCCCAGGCGAGCAGCTCTTTCTTTTCTGGCCCCTGGTGATGCAGGCTGTGAGTCCTGATGACCGCTTCATCCTCACCGCCGACCGGGATGAGAAGATCCGAGTCAGCTGGGCCGCCGCACCCCACAGCATCGAGTCCTTCTGCTTGGGACACACAGAGTGAGTGCCCCTTCCTGCCCCAGCAGCAGAAAGAAGCTCCGCTTGGAAACAGCATCAGCTTATGGCTCAGCAGGTGCCGCTGTAGCCAGCGAGGCCCTACCTGGTGACAGCAGCCCCTGTGCATGGTCACTGCAGGTGTCGTGGGTGCTGCCTGCGGAAGCGTCGTAAGCGTGGGGTTCACGCTGCGCTGTTAGCGCAGTCGGCAGGTGCCTCCCCATTGGTCCTGAGCAAACGAGAGGGCGTGTTTCCGGGAGGGTCCTGTCTCAGCGTGGAGCCCTCTGCACCACGGGTGTGTTGGGGGCGAGGGCGTGCTTAGTGATTCCAGCTGTCCAGGAATGAAGCTGCCTCTGCGCCCAGGTGGCCTCTCTTCGTGGCAGCCAGCTCTGCCAGCACCTGTGCGGAGGTGTTTCTGAATGCCTGCTTCTCCCTCACACAGAAGGCCGATGAGAATTTACACAAAGGAAAAGTGCTTTGTGTAATTGCCTGAAGTGTTTTAAAATACATTATTTGAGGCAGTGGAAGAAACTGGAGGGAGGGAATTCAGTGCTGAGGTTTCCTGTGTGTTGCTGGTTTTGAATGCATGCGTTTCCCAGTGAAGAAGGCCAGTCACTGTGTGTGTCTTGGGCTGGCTTACTCTGGCCTGCATTTAGTTTCCTGGTGTTGCGGGTCTGGAGCTCTCTGGCCTGCAGCGCCCCGGCCCCTCCCCTCCACCATCTCCTGCTGGGGTCTCTGTAGCTCCCCTGTCTCGCCAGGCATGTGACGGAGGTTTCTGCTGACAGAGCACACTTCCCACCCCTCTGGGAAATGCCTCATCACTTGGATAATATTGAATAAAAACATAGTATTAAAATCAACTTCACCTGCTCTTTTACTTTTCAACATGGTGGCTGGCAAGTAGAAACCAAATCCCTGTGGCCCCTGTGTGTGGCTGGAGCTACATTTCTGCTGGTCGGCGCTATTCCGCACCCTCTGCTGACATTGCAGGGTTCGTGGCCACCTCCACCGCATTCGAGTGGTTCTGTGGGCCGGTTGTGCCCGCTGCTGTCTGCAGCCCCCAGCACAGTGCCTGGCACAAGTAGGCACTCAGTAGACACTGCAGTGATTGAACAAGTTATTTTTTGAGATTTTCTTTCAAACCCATGGAGACTGGTTTCTGTCCTTTCCTGCTGAGAACTGTGAGACTGCTCGGACCCTCTGCACAGGCCCTCCTGGGCCCTGTCTGCCCTGGGCCGTGGGCTGCTGTCTTTCCCTTTTGGAGGGCCTGTGATGAGAAGCCAGCCCTGGGTGCTGTGGTGCTGTGCAGGGCGGTGGCTGCGGGACGAGGCCCAGGCCAGGCAATGGCTAGCCCAAGGGAGCGGAGGCCGTGACTGGCAGACATGAAGGGAGCCTCACGGGCCACCCCATTCCAGGAGTCCCTGGGGACCCCGGGCATGAGGGATTGCTTGAGGTCGCTGTTACAGTGGGAAGAAAAACAGGCCTTGTCACCCTTGCAGGTGCTCGAGCCAGGATGGCTTTCCAGGAGAGCTGGGCTGCCTGGGTCACTCTTCATGGCTGTTCTGATGGGAGCGTGCCTGTGACTTTGAGTCCTGTACTGTTGCAGGCCACACCCTCTCAGGAGGTCTGGGCCGGCTCAGTAGAGCCAGCTCTCTGGCCAGGTCACTCAGAGTTGTCACTGAGGGGTCATGAGGGCCCTGATTGGACTCTGTCCGTGGGCTTGGCTGCCCTCCTTCCCCTGCACCCTCCTACCCATGTGCTGTGTCTTTGAGGCTCTGCCAGGGCCCCTTTCGTCACAGTGCAGGTGCCTCAGGCAAGGGTGGGTGCTGGGGGCCTGTGGGGGTACAGCTGAGCAGAGCCACTGCAGAGGGGCACAGACGCAGTTGGGTCTCTGGCAGGCATGGCTAAGGAGCGGCCTGAGTTAGAGGTTGCTGTGCTGTTGGGGACCCAGGAATGACCCCCTCGCCTCCCTCACTGTGTCCAGGGGCCTTCACCTGGTCAGCCCTAACCGGATTAGGATTAACAGATACTTCCCATGATGGCTGGTTTTATTGCATCGGGGGTTTGGGCGGAGGCGTCTTAGATGAACAGGTGGCCTTCCCATGCCCGCAGGCACTGGGCTAGCTGACTGCTTCTCTCTCGCTCTCACAGGTTTGTGAGTCGCATCTCCGTGGTGCCCACTCAGCCCAGGCTGCTGCTGTCCTCCTCTGGGGTAAGTATTCATAGCCCCGCATCACTCACCTCTGGATTCTGCAGCCTGCAGGGAGGGTGGGGTGGGTACCCCCTGGAACTGGCCCCTCTGGATTGCTGGCCGCTTGCTGGCCGTGGCTGTCCACTAGATGGTGCTTGTTTCCGAATCTTGGAGCTGCCCACAGCTTGCTCCCCGCTGGCAGCTCATTCAGGACTGTGTGTGGGGTGTGTGTAGGTGCCTGTGTGTTCGCACAGGCGATAATCTAGAAGGGCTGTGTGGACAGCTCCCTTCTGAAGGTGGCTGCGCCTTCTATGACAGGATCAGGGATCAGGATCTCAGGGAGACGCAGGAGATGGGGGCCGCTCTGACTCCTCGAGGGGATCTGAGTCCATCCCATTACTGGCTGCGTTTTTTTTGTCTTTTTTTTTTTTTTTTTTTTTTAAGATGGGGTCTTGTTACATTTTTCAGGCTGGTTTCAAACTCCTGGGCCCAAGCGACCTCCCTCCTTGGCCTCCTGAGTAGCTGGGACCAGCTGCTTGAGCCCCCGCACCTGGGTACTGTGGAGGATTTTTGCTTGCTGAGTACAGCTTGTGTGTCCCAGCACTGGGTCCTGGAAGCCTTACAGTTTAGTGACGAGAGACGTGTTTCCTCTGAGGAATATGGTAGAAGTGCTGTGAGTGATTTTGCCAAAGTGAAGGCTTTGAATTCCTCACAGGGTCTGTCTTGTGGGCCTAGGAATTGTCGCCCACACGCCTCCACCTTCCTCTCTGCTGCCCTTCCCTGTGTTGTCTGTGACGGTGGCCTTGTGTGGCGTGGCAGGATGGCCGATGGACCTTCTGGCTGCCCCTGTGTTCATTCTCTGATTTGGCTTCATTCAAAGCCTCCTGTTCGTGGTCTTCAGATGAATGCACAGCCACGTGGTCTGAGAACAGAACGGTCTGGCCGGAGTCTCCAGAGGTCAGGGTCAGGCTTTGTCAGCGTTTTGTGGTGCATTGTCCAGTCTTTTTCATCATCATGAAGAAAATCTTCCACGGGCAGAGAAGACTTCCCAGGCTCCGTCTGTCGCTCACGGTTGCAACTTTGTTGGAGTGGAACGCGTTATCTGGTAGCCACTAGACGGTGCGAGGAGTGTTAGTGTTTTGTGACTTTGCCTTTCTGGAAATATCATTCGTTAATCTCCTTGAGGCCTGATTGTTGGTTTGGCGTAGAAATCCTGGTTGAAACGGTTTCCCTTGGAGCTTGGGAGGCCCTCTGTGCTCTCCAGCTGGCTCCTCCTGTGTGGTTTCCCGATGCCCTTCCGGTGGAAACCTGCAGCCATCTGCTGTGGGTCCGTGGGTGACAGCTGGACTCTGCCCGGGTCCGTGGGTGACAGCCGGACTCTGCCCAGGTCCGTGGCGTGACAGCCGGACTCTGCCGTGGGTCCGTGGCGTGACAGCCGGACTCTGCCCAGGTCCATGGTGTGACAGCCGGACTCTGCCCAGGTCCGTGGCGTGACAGCCAGACTCTGCCGCGGATCCGTGGCGTGACAGCCCGAGTCTGCCCGGGTCCGTGCTGTGACAGCCGGACTGTGCCGTGAGTCCGTGGCGTGACAGCCGGACTCTGCCCGGGTCTGTGCTGTGGCAGCCGGACTCTGCCGTGGGTCTGTGGCGTGACAGCCGAACTCTGCCCGGGTCTGTGCTGTGACAGCCGGACTCTGCCGTGGGTCCGTGGCGTGACAGCCGGACTCTCCTTCTTGGAGGGCCTCTTCCGCCCCAGTGTGCGATGTGGAAGCCGCTGAGGTGACTCGGTGGGTTCCGGAGAGGAACTGGCTGCACAGCTGGTGACTTCAGCGCCTCCGACCTGGGGCATTTTCTTACAAGTTTTTCCTGTTCCGAGCGATCCACCCACCTCGCTGCTGGGATTCTAGGCGAGAGCCAGCGTGCCCGGCCACCGTTCCCTGACGCCTGTCTCTCCTGTTCCTTGAGGAGGAGTCTGAGTCGTGGAGATTGCCTCGGCTGTACCTTCCAGCCTCTGTGGAGACTTGAGTTTTATCAGGATGATTTTGAATCTTCGGGTCTTTCTTGTCCCCGGCCTGTTCGTCACAGCCTCGCATTCTCGGATAGTGCGGATCTCTTACCTCACTGAGATGAGTGTGGGCTTTGCTTTCTTCGTTTGCTCCTGGCCTCGTGTTTGATTCCTTCCCCGGGTGTGTGCTGTCCGCCTTTCTCGCTGAGGTTTTCCCCACGTGTCCGGCGATCCTGTCTGCCTGTGTGTGATGGGAATCCGCAGCAGCGGCCTCAGAGGCTGGGTGTGTGCCCAGGGCGGGCCGGAGAGGCTTCCCAGCGGCCCTGAGCGTGGGCAGCAGCGCCTCGCCTGCGGGCCCCGTGGTATGTGTGGGTCAGTCGGTCTCTTGTCCTGGCCTTCACTCTTGCTGGGGTCTGTCCCCGGGGCTCTGGAGGTGAGTGTGAAGCGCTGGACGGCTCTCTTCTCGGGGCGTATTTGGCGTTCCCGAGACCGGGGCCTCTCACTTCCGTTTCCCCGGAGCCTTGCGCTGGCCTGGAGTTTGGGCTCAGCATACATTGGGGAGGTCTCATTTCTCTTTGGTAAGACATTTGACAGCTCCCCTCACCACCCTGGCCTTCAGGCTGCCTGGTCCGGCCTGGTCTGGCAGGCCCTGGCACCTCTGGGGCTTCTCTGTGGCCGATGCCTTTGCTCCCGGCCTCTAGCCCCCAGGCTTCCTCGCCTTTGATGGCTGCCTTCCCTTCTCTTCCTGACTAGTGGGTTCATGGTTAGTCAACATCTTTTTCTTGTCATTGTAGAGCGGTTTGGGGCGAGTGGAAATGCCTGTAGATGTGTGTGCAGGTCTCCATGTTTATCTGCCAAATTTGTGGCAAGGTGTCTGTGTGTGCGCGTGCATGTGTGTGTGCATGTGCATGTGCATGTGTGCAGGTATGTGTAGGCATGTGAGTGTGCATGCGTGCGCGTGTGTATGAGAGTATGTGTGTGCATGTGTGAGTTTGCATGTGTGCATGCGTGTGTGTGCATGCATTCATACATCCACTCTTACCCCGGCACTCAGAAGATACACGTCTGCTGTTAGCTGTTTGGGGTATTTACTTTTCATCTTTTTCCTTCAGTCACTTAAAAATACTCACAAAGGCCAGGCGCAGTGGCTCACGCCTGTAATCCCAGCACTTTGGGAGGCGAAGGGTGGATTGCTTGAGGTCAGCAGTGCGAGAACAGCCTGGCCAACATGGTTAAACCTTGTCTCTACTAAAAATACAAAAATTGGCTGGGCATGTTGGCTCATGCCTGTAATCCCAACTACTCGGGAGGCTGAGGCAGGAGAATCGCTTGAACTCAGGAGACGGAGGTTTCAGTGAGCTGAGACTGTGCCATTGCACTCCAGCCTGGGCAACAGAGCGAGACTCCATTGCAAAAAATAAAAAATAAAATCTCACAAATAGTGTACAGACACTCTCATTAGATTTAGTGAGTATTGATTTATTTTTTTCCATTAATTAGTGCTGTAATGCTTTTTTTTTTTTTTTTTTTTTTGAGACGGAGTTTCGCTCTTGTTACCCAGGCTGGAGTGCAATGGTGCGATCTCGGCTCACCGCAACCTCCGCCTCCTGGGCTCAGGCAATTCTCCTGCCTCAGCCTCCTAAGTAGCTGGGATTACAGGCACGCGTCACCACGCCCAGCTAGTTTTTTGTATTTTTAGTAGAGACGGGGTTTCACCATGTTGACCAGGATGGTCTCGATCTCTCGACCTCGTGATCCACCTGTCTCGGCCTCCCAAAGTGCTGGGATTACAGGCTTGAGCCACCGCGCCCGGCTGTAATGCATTTTTTTTAAGCCAGGTGTGGTGGCTCAGCTACTGGGAGGCTGAGGCAGGAGGATTGCCTGGGCTTGGGAGTCAGAGGCTATAGTGAGCCAGGATTAAGCCCGTGAATAGCCACTGTGCTGCAGTGGGCAGCGTGGCATAGACCCCGTCTCAATAAAAAATAACAACAGATAAAACCAAGAAAAAAAAATCCCTTTTTTCCATTTATGATGATTTTAGGGCATGGAGGCTCTTGGTTCGTGTGTCGCCTTCCTGAAGGCTTGAGCCGGTTGTCATGGGACAGTTGCCGATGACCATGTCCTTCTCTCATTCTTAGTGAAGTGGGCACGGCCACGCGCTCATGAGCTCACACGTGTCTCCTGGGGAGAATGCATGATGGTTGAAGTGTCTTTGCCTGGCCCGGGCACAGCAGGTGTGGTCTGGCCTCCTGGCAGGTGACAGCCTGGCCTCCTGTGTCCTTGGCTCGTTTTGCTGGGATCTGCCTCATTGCCTTTGTCATCTGCCTGGGCATGTCGGCACTGGAGAAACAGGGAATCCGTTACTTTCCTGTCCCCACTGTTTTCTTGATGATTTGCATGAGCTCTTTACGCAGTCAGAGCAAAGAGCCTTTAATAACCGAGGGCGGGCAGCTTGGCTGCCACTGAGTGGATCCCCCGACCACACCCCGCTGTCCTCTCTGTCACCTCACCCAACAGCAGCCCCAGACCATGTGCTAACCTGTGTGTTTGGTGTGTGCAGGACGGCACCCTGAGGCTCTGGGAGTACAGGAGCGGCCGCCAGCTGCACTGCTGTCGCCTGGCCAGTCTGCAGGAGCCGGCGGACCCCCAGGCCCCCCAGGTAGCCGCTTCTGTTCACTCCTGTTGACTGTGTGTAGGTGTGTGTAGGCACCTGAAGCCGCTTGGCTTGAGTGGAAAAGTCACTTTGCCGTTGGAAACATTTGCCCTCAATGCCAGACTTCTTCCTGTGGGAGGGAAATCTTGTATTTCAAATTCTGAAGGTGTCTAGTCATGTCAGTGGGAAATAATCTGTCTCACTGTTGCCTGCAGACAGTGGATGTACAGGAAGGCCTCTAATCCTGCTCTGAAGTGGAAGGAATGCAGGTGCAGGAGCACGCACCTCTGTGGGTCTGCCGGCCAAGTGGGGCAGGGGCGGGGCTGGGCCCACTCCAGCGTTGTCCGGCCTGCTTGGAGCCATCTCATGACACCCTGAATGCCCCATCCTTGGTTAAGTTTCCCGATGGGTCTGTTTCATTTCTTAGAGAACTTGTGTGGTGTGGCCTCTGCCCGCTACCAGGCGGCTGTGTGAGACAGAACAAGGCCTTTTCCTCCATGGTCACGTGACTCGGGTTCCTGGAAGTTTCCTTCATTTTTTTTTTTTTCTTTTGAGAAGGAGTTTCACTCTTGTTGTCCAGGCTGGAGTGTAGTGGCGTGATCTCGACTCACCACAACCTCCACCTTCCAGGTTCAAGCGATTCTCCTGCCTCAGTCAGCCTTCTGAGTAGCTGGGACTACAGGCGCTTGCCACTACACCCAGCTAATTTTGTATTTTTAGTAGAGACAGCGTTTCACCATGTTGACCAGGATGGTTTCAAACTCCTGACCTCAGGTGATCTGCCTGCCTCGGCCTCCCAAAGTACTGGGATTACAGGGGTAAGCCACTGTGGCTGGCCTCCTTCGTTGAAAAAAAATTTTGGCCGGGCACAGTGGCTCACGCCTGTAATCCCAGCACTTTGGGAGGCCGAGGCGGGTGGATCACAAGGTCAAGAGATCGAGACCAACCTGGTCAGCATGGTGAAACCCCGTCTCTACTAAAAATACAAAACATTAGCCGAGCGTGGTGGCATATGCCTGTAATCCCAGCTACTCAGGAGGCTGAGGCAGGAGAATTGCCTGAACCCAGGAGGCAGAGGTTGTGGTGAGCCGAGATCGCGCCATTGCACTCCAGCCTGGGTAACAAGAGCGAAACTCCATCTCAAAAAAAAAAAAAAAAAAAAAAAAAATTTCTTTTTTGAGACAGAGTCTCACCTTTGCCTGGAGTGCAGTGGTGCTATCTTGACTCACTGCTACCTCTGCCTCCCAGGCACATGTCATTCTTCTGCCTCAGGCTCCTGTGTAGCTGGGATTACAGGCATATGCCACCACGCTCAGCTGATTTTTGTGTTTTTTTGTAAAGACGGGGTTTTGCTCTGTTTGTCAGGCTGGTCTCAAACTCCAAACCTAAGGTGATCCACCAGCCTTGGCCTTCCAAAGTGCTGGGAACACAGGCATGAGCCACTGTGCCTGCCCAGCCTCTTCATTGGTAACATGCCCTCTGCCAGGAAGTGCGGGGCTCACAGGACAGTGGCGCGTAGCGGCTGTCTCCCTCCTCTCCTCAGTGTCTGACCCATTTTGTTGGCTTTGGAGGCTGTCGAGTCTCACCTGCCACTGGCTGCTCCCAGGCCTGCAGAGCACCAGGGGGCTTCCCGGCAGTCCTGGAGCACCCACAGCCCCTGGGTCTCCTCGAAGGCCACGTCCTGCCCTGCCCGCCTGCACCATGCTGGTTAATCTATTGCTACCCCGGAGCTGAAGACTTAAACTCTCTGCAGGCCCTTCAGGGAGCACCAGAGCCACTGGGGGGCTTTCGTCATCTGCCTGGGCATGTCCGCTCACTGAGAAATAGGGAATCAGCTACCCTCGTTTCCCCACTGATTCCAGAATGTTCTTGTACTATTTCCTCTTTCCTTCCTGGATATGCGGGGGCTCTGGGCGTCCTTCAGTTTTGCTCTTGTTGGATCCGCGTGCCCAGCGTCAGCCCCTGCAGGTGGCGTGAAGTTAACGGGCTGCTTCTCCTTTCAGAGGCTGGCCGCGTCCAGGATTGCGTTCTGGTGCCAGGAGAACTGCGTGGCGCTCCTGTGTGACGGGTAAGCTGCGGTGGCACGTCCATGGCCTCTGGTTCTGCAGACCTGCAGGGGGAGAGTTAGCGGGTTGGCCACTGGCCCTCGTCCTCAATGAAGAGGTCCTGGGCGGTGGTGGCGGCCCCGCAGCTCCCTCTGAGAACGTCACTGCGTGGGGTGGGGGCTCCTCTCAGCCAGCGCCCTTCAACCTGTCGAACTCCCCTGGTGTGAGGGGCACCAGCGGCCTCTGCTTGGCATTCTGAGAGGAGGGACTCTCCCCAGGCTCGGCCACGGTGGCATCGCTCGCCTCACTGGCCTCACTCCCTGCTTGGGGCTGGTCGGGTGGGACCCCCTGGGCTTGGCAGTGCTGACGAGGCGCGTTTCGGGGTGGAGTGCAGTTCCGCGGCTGCTTCCCAAGCGGCTTCTGTGTCAGGAAAGGTGGTATTTTTGGTGCTTTTGGTACTTTTCATTTTGTCCTTATGACAATCTGGGGAGGTCTCTTAGCTCGTTCTGGTGTGAGAGGAGAGCGGCGCCTGAGCCCAGGGCCTGCGCCCTCCTGCCCTGCCCGCCTGTCCCGTGCTGGTTGTCTATTGCTGTGCCACGAGCCACCCCAGAGCTTAGGACTTAAACCAAGTGTGTACCCCCTGCGGCGTCCCCGGCTCCAGCACTCGGCAGAGGTGCAGCTGGGGCTTTCGGGGCAGGCTCTCCTGAGGTGGCTCCGGTGAGGGCTGCACTGTCCGGGGTGCTGGCTGCGGAGGGGTGCCGTGGGCCTGCGGTCCCAGTCATCGTGCTCTCTCTCTTCGTGGCAAGCGCTCCTGCGGTCTACATCTTCCGGCTGGACGCCGGCAGACAGCAGCTGGAGTATAGGCAGCAGCTGGCATTCCAGCACCAAGTGTGGGATGTGGCTTTCGAGGAGACCCAGGGACTGTGGGTGCTTCAGGACTGCCGGGAGGCCCCGCTGGTGCTCTGCAGACCTGTGGGCGGCCAGTGGCAGGTAAGACTTGGCACCTCCCTCATGGCCCAGGCCCTGCTGTCCCATAAGCCTGTGGCTGGGGGCTGGCAGCTGTGGTTTTTGGGTCCACGCATGAGCCTCTTTCAACTCAGCCACTTCTGGGGCCCAGGGTCTGTGTCCTGAGGGGCAGTGGGTGGGGCTTCCACTGTGGGTGAAGGGAGCCGGGTGCCTGGCCAGCATGGCCGCTTGTCCCTCGTGGTGATGTCTGCAGCAGTTCTTTTTTTGGGGGGAGCATGTGGCTGGGGTGTGTGGGACTAACACTTGTGAGCTGGGTTAGCACAGCCTCGAGCCTGGGGCACCGGTGGAGCACCTGGGAGCACGTGGATCCCCCGGCAGAGGAAGGGGCGAGGGCAGTGGGCTGAGCTGCTGCTCTGGAGGTGGGGTAGGGGGAGCCCAGCTCCCTTCCTCCACCCACTGCCCCTCAGGACACAGAACCTTGGGCTGAGCTGTTTCCCTGCTGGGGGACGGGGTGAGCCATGTACCTTCACGTCGCTCCTGGTAACGTGGGAGTGGTGCCCCTGCCTGCCCTGCGTCTCGCGAGGTCGCGGTGGCGTTGAGGGGAGTGGTGCCGATTCACCGAAGTTCATCAAGCACTTTGGAAGCACTTTTAAGCCATCCGGTTCTTTTTGCCTAAGAAGTGGCAGGTCACACGGTGTCCCCAGTGGGTGCCTGTCGCACCTGCGGAGCCCCTGAGGTTGATGAGCTGCGTGTGAAGAGCTCGCCCTGGTGTCATGGGCAAGCTGGGGGTGCTGCCTCCCTAGGTCTCCATGGAAGGCAGACGGGGGCCACCAGGCACCAGGAGGGGACCTCCCCCTGCAGGCCTCTCTGGCCAGCGCGTGTTGCGTCCTGGTGCTGGGTTTTCAGGCCTGCCTCTTTCTAATGAAGATTTTCTATTTGTTGCCTGCAGTCTGTTCTTGAGAGCGCCGTGTTAAAGAAAGTCTCCGGTGTTCTTCATGGGAACTGGGCCATGATGGAAGGTGAGAGCATGGCACAGCCTGCCCTTGGGGGTGCCGCCCAGCACAGTCCCCAGAGAAAGCCACGCACCTGAGGGATCTGGTGTGTGGGTAAAGAGGGGAAGGGTAAGCGTGTGCCCTCATCAGAAGGTGGGGTGGGGCAGGAGGAGGGTGGCGCACAGCAGTGAGGGACCCCCCATGGGAGTCAGGCTATTGAGAGCTATGCAGGAACCGGGGGCTCAGGATCTGAGCAGTATCTCCCGCTCTCCAGCTGCCTTCAGAGTTGGGTACTGGAGGTCCCCAGGGCAGGGCTGGCACCTGGTAGCTCCCAGAGGGAGCAGGCACTGTGCTGCCTCAGGCCTGGTCCATGGTATCGAGGTAATTGATCCCACTCTGCATGTGTCAGCAGGTGCAGAGCCCCACTGGGGGGTCTCGTGGGGGGCTAGCCAGAGGCCCCGGCGTTCTTCAGGAAGCTGAACCGGTAGGATGGTCACTGTCCTGACGAGAACAGTCGGCTCAGGGCAGGGAATCCGACAGCAATGTGTTGGTTGTGGCCACAGGAAGGAGAGCAGCCGGCTGAGGAAGGACGCTGGAGGGGCATTTCCACTCTGCCTCTGGGGGCGCCATTGTGCCAACACCGGGCAGCCTCGGAGGCGATGGTGTCTGCAGGGTGGGTTAGCCCAGCACCGAATCCACGTGCCTCATTCATGTTTAGAAGTTGCTCCTCTGAGGAAGCCTCACAAAGCCAGAGCCCCCTCCAGGCAGCACTGAGGTTCCTTGGAGCTCTGGAGGGATTCAAACTCAGGTCAGAGGAGTTTCTGCTGACGGCGGCCTGACTGCCTTCTGCCGTTTCCCAAGGGGCGGCGCTGGCTCTGCCTCTGAGGCTCCTCTCCTTCCTGCTTTGCTGAGGACGTTGAGGGTTGACACGGGCAGGGCTGGGCCCCAGTGCGGTTGGGATCTGCTTTAGGAACACCTCCAGAGTGGGCCGCTCCCCGGCTGTGTCAGGGACTGCAAGTGGTAGTGCTCATGGCCCCGTGCTCCCGGCCATGGCCAGCATGGACCTGCTGAGCGTCACCTTGCACATCAGGCTCAGGCCACAGGCTGGCCTCGCTCTCCTGAGCTGTTTGTAGATAGAGCAGCCTGTTGCTGGTGCGGACTGGGGGCCTTGTGGGGAGAGGGACAGGGGAGGCTGCTGCAGAGTGTCGCACAGCAGCAGATCGCTGGAGGCAGTCCCTGGTGCGCGGGTGACACCCTGGCTGGGCCTGTGGTTTCCTGGCTGGGCTGAGGCTGTCTCCGTGTGCCCATGGTCAGCCGTTGCCCCCCAAGCCTTGGCACTTAGATAAATAGATGGAATCCGTGCCCATTCCCTGTGACTGTGGAACATGCTCTCCCACACTCGATGCCAGCAGGCCCCCACTCTTAGCGTCTCACTGTTGCTGTGGGCCAGGAGTGCGAATCCCTGAACTGTGTCCCTCCAGGCAGCCGCCTCAGCTTCACCCTGCGGGGCCCGACACTGCTCAGTTCGGGTTATCAGTAGGACGGGGCCAGAGGCCACTGCTCCTGGTCCCCTGCCATGTGGGCCGCTCCACAGCGTGGCTCGTGGTGTCATGGCGCAGCAGTGACTTTCTCCTGACACGTGAGCAGAGAGTGCTGGCGGGGTGGAGGCCCAGCCTTGGTGCCCTGGTTTCCGTTACACTCCTTCGTCTTTGCCCCATTCTGTTAGGAGGCAGTCCTCAGGCCCAACCAGGGTGTGGGTCCCAGGAGGTGGGTACTGTGGGGAGCCATCCCAGAAGGCGCCCTCCACAGTCCACCGCGGACTCTGGGTGTCACAAGGCCCCTGCTGCAGGGGCCCCACCCAGCACCTGCCCCTGTTCCCCCATCACAGGCTCTGCCGGCGTGGACGCCAGCTTCAGCAGTCTCTACAAGGCCACCTTCGACAACATGACCTCCTACCTGAGAAAGAAGGAGGAGAGGCTGCAGCAGCAGCTGGAGAAGAAACGGCACCGGAGTCCCCCGCCTGGGCCCAACGGGCAGGCCAAGAAGATGAGGCCAGGGGAGACGGCCTGGAGCTGCTGAGCCTCTCACCTCGAGTCACAAAAAGCATTTTCGCTTGTTCCCCTGCATCCTGGTGTCTCCCTTCAAGAAGAAAAAGGTGACATCAGTTGCGATCAGCTCAGAGGATGGGACGGTCCCCTGGGCTCCAGAAAGAACGTGCTGTGTCACCAGGCAGAGGCGCTTGCTCCGTGCCTGTGCCCCGTTTCTGGTTGAGGGGAAGCCAGACCCATGGAGGGGAAGCTCTTGAGGCGCTTTGTTTTCAGGTCGGAGGCAGCGTGCACGCCTGTGGTGGCGGCAGCTGTGCGTGGTTCTGCCGTTCTACCGCCGTTCATATCTGGCGCATCTTCCTCTAGGAACGTCTGCGGGCTGGTGTTTCTGGCACAGTGGACATTTTCACGCCATCTCAGCGTCCAGGTGATGTGCTGCCCCACAGTAGCTGCTCGCCATGCAGGCTGTTGAAACAGCACGAACGTTCAGCCCGCCCCAGCCCCAGCCAGACCCCCTGTGCTCAGGAGCTGCCTCTGGAGAGTAGCGCTCTCGTGGGAAGTGCAGAAATGCGTTTTGGAGTTGCAGGGAGCTCTGTCAGGCAGCGCTGGCACAGGTGGGTGAACTTCTTTCAGGAATTGTGAGGACAGGGGCCCGGCTGGCACCCGGTTTTACAGGGAGGTGACTGAGGACATTGTTAGGATTTGACTTGACCTTGGCACATGCTGCAGAGCCACAGGGAAACTGCTGAATTTCGGTCACCAATCAGCAGGGATGAACCTTCACAACTTCCTAGAAATGTTTAGCAGCAGCAGCAGAATACAGCCAGCAAAGCGTCTGGGTGCGCGCACTGTGTGGTCTGGGAAGATGCTTCTGGGAGCATCAGGTCATTCATTCAGGCCGGCTCCTGCCTGCTCCAGTGCTGAAGTCTCCACTCAAGAACAGCTGTGCCGGGCTGGGTGCGGTGGCTCAAGCCTGTAATCCCAGCACTTTGGGAGGCCGAGGCGGGCGGATCACAAGGTCAAGAGATTGAGACCATCCTGGTCAACATGGTGAAACTCCGTCTCTACTAAAAATACAAAAAATTAGCTGGGCATGGTGGTGCGTGCCTGTAATCCCATCTACTCAGGAGGCTGAGGCAGGAGAATTGCCTGAACCCGGGAGGCGGAGGTTGCAGTGAGCCGAGATCGCGCCATTGCACTCCAGCCTGGGTAACAAGAGTGAAACTCCGTCTCAAAAAAAAAAAACAAAAAACAACAGCTGTGCGTGCCGGTAATGACTTTCACGTGGGGTATCGCTGGGGACTTAGAATCCTTTTGTGTTTCAAAAGCTGGAATGCTTCCAATTTTTCATAAGTGCCTTGTTTTCCTTTTAATATTGATCTGGAAACAGTGCTGTCTGCAGAGCTGAGGCCCCCTCCTCTCTGCTGAGCATCAGGGGTTTCAGAATGGAGGGGCCATGCTGGGCGACGTCCTCTAGAGCAGCCTGACCTTCACGCTTCCGGGGCATCCGGCGCAGGGATGCCCTCTCGTTCATAGTCTGCTGTGAAAGTCTTGGTTTTGGGAGAAGTTCAGGTCGGTGTTGCCACATCGTCACTTCAGAGAGGGGCTTGCAGACGGGCCTGTGCGCCGAATGCCACCCACAGCCTGATACATGGCCTGTCAATGGTTTTTTACATTTTAAAAATGGTTGAAAACAAATTAAAAATATGTTTCGTGACATGAAAATCACGGCATTCACATCCCAGCGTCTGTGAGTAGACTGATGGACGCAGCCAGGCCTGTCTGTCCGCGCCTCGTCTCCGTCCGCTTTGTGCTCCGGCCGCAGAGTGGTGTGTTGGGACTGAGTCCAAATGGCCTCCCCCCAGGACCACGTCTCTCCACGACTGCGGAGGCCCCTCTGGGGTTCTGCTTCCTCCCAGTGGGGCCGGCTTCCTGCATTAGCTCCTCAGCATCCTGCCTTGGCCCTGAGTTGGTCCCTCTGCTAATGGCTGTTTCTGTGTCTCGGGACGGCACAGCCACCTTCTTGCTGGGACATTGATGGACTGGTTCCTGTTCACCCACCGTAGTCATCTGGAAATAGCTCTTATAGTTCCTTGGCTTGAACCCAGCTCCGCACGTATTCAGAGTTTTCTCCCTTGCCCCTCACCCACCGTCTTCCTGTCCTCTGTGACCCCCTGGCTGCTGGGTCTGTTCTTTGAGACGTCATGGCCGCCCCTGATTGCCATCTGGGAGGATCTCACCCCTTCAGTTTCAACTGTTCTATTCCATTAATTTTTGGTTTCTATGTATTTTACTTTTGGGACATTCCTTGGGCTTTGTTCTGCCTCTTTAATTGATTAAGAAAATTTGGTCATTGTATTCAATTTTGTGTGTGTGTGTGTGTGTGTGTGTGTGTGTGTGACGGCGTCTTGCTCTGTTGCCCAGGCTGGAATACAGTGGCGTAATCTCGGCTTACTGCAACCTCTGCCTCCCAGGTTCAAGTGATTCTCCTGCCTCTGCCTGCCGAGTAGCTGGCATTACAGCGTGTGCCACAACATCCAGCTAATTTTTGTAATTTTAGTACAGATGGCATTTCACCATGTTGGCCAGGCTGGTTTCGAACTCCTGACTTGAGGTGATCCTATCACCTTGGCCTCCTAAAGTGCTGTGATTATAGGTGTCAACCACTGCACCCAACCTGTTGTATTGAATTCTAAGCACTTTCTTCTTCTTTCTTGTTTTTTGGAGATGGTCTTCCTCTGTCACCCAGGCTGAAGTGCAGTGGTGGTGTGATCTTGGCTCACGGCAGCCTCAATCTCCTGGCTCAAGCAATCCTCCCACCTTGGCCTCCCAGAGTGCTGGGATTATAGGCATGAGACACTGTGCTCAGCCCCTCGTTCTTCATTTAGGTAACAGTGCGTGTACTGTACAACTGGAAAGTGCACATGAAATGCTGGAACTGGATTTCACCAACTGAGTGCACTGTGTGACTGCCCATGAGAAGCAGGACACTTAGCACCTGCTGAGAAGCCCCCACACCCATGTTCCCTTCTAGGTACTGCCACACGCGTGCTGGCTGGCCCGACCTCAGTTTCCCTTCTGTTGCTCTGGCTGCTTCTGCTCCACTCTCTTTGTGAGGCTCATCCACCTTGTTGCCTGTGTTGTGGATTCTTTGTTCTCAGTGCTATGCTAAGTACTCCATTGTGTGAAAATTCCACAGTGCTTTGGTTCTGCTGTGGATGGGCATTTGGGTAGTTTCCACAGTTTGGCTGTTAGGAATGGTGCAGTGATGAACATGCTGGCACCTGTCTTCTGTTTTTTTATTTTTAGAGACAGGGTCTTGCTCTCTTACCCAGGCTGGAGTATGACCTTGGCTCACTGCAGCCTCAGCCTCCTGGGCTCAAGCAGTCCTCCCATCTCTGCCTCCTGAGTAGCTGGGACTGCAGGTGTGTGCCACCATGCTGGCTAATTTTTGTAGTGTTTTGTAGAGATGGAGTCTGGCTCTGCTGCCCAGGCTGGTCTCGAACTTGTGTCCTCAAGCAGTCCTCCTGCCTCAGCTTCCCAAAGCACTGGGATTACAGGCCCGAGCCTCCATCCCTAGCCAGCATGTGTCTTCTGGAACATTTGTAAGCATTTCTGTTGGGCGTGTACTTAGGCGCGGAGTCGCTGGCTCTTCGTTATATATGTTTGACTTAGAAGATACTGCAAGGTGGAAAACAGCACCTATTCGCGCCTGGTGTTGGTGGCTGTGGCGGCTGTGGGTGCCTTGGATCGCCCGCGGTGTGTGCTGTGGAGTTCTGCAGAGGTGCAGACTTCCAGTTCCTGCGGACTGGCACAGGGAGCCAGTGAAGCTGCCCACCCAGGATCCAGAGCTCACCTTGATCTTGTTCTCTGAGGCCACCTCCCAAAACGTTGGCTCACCCAGTCTTAGATCACTCACCCTGGGGGCGATCCTCAAGGTCACGAGGACACTCAGGCAGCCTACCTGGAGGTCACCGTGGCAGGGCACAGGCCTCGTGGGGCACCTCCAGGAAGGAGAGCTTCCTGGGTTCCCTGCAGCCCGTGTGTGCTGACACGCCGTGTTCTCCTCTCCGACTTCCCTTGCGACTCCCTCGGCCCGCGGTGGTTCGGAGGCTCAGGCTCATTCCTGCACGTCTAGGGTTTCCTCCAGGTCTTGCTGTTTCTGGTTTTGATTCCATTGTGGTCTCGGAACACGCTTGGCTGCCTTCACTCTGTTCAGATCTGTCAAGGCCTGTTTCGTGCTTCACAGTGTGGGGTGATCGCTTTGCACATGCAGCTGTGTGCGGCCCCGGCTGTCCCCGTCTTGCCTCTCCGTGCCCCGTGCACCCTGCCTCGTCCTGCCGTGCGATCCTGGAGCTAGGTCCTCCCTGGACCCTCCTTTGCAAGTCGGCACAGTGCTTGGCTATGTCGCTGGAGGGACTGCACGGGAGGGAGGGGCCTGCCCTCCCGGTTCCAGCGTGCCCGTCTTTGCTGGCTTCCGTGGTGTGCGCCTGCCAACCTCGTGGAGGGTGAGGACAGGCTCTCAGTGACAGCCTCCGGCAGCTTATCGACACCAGGTCCACCGGTGGGAAGGATTCCTGCCGAGTTTCCTGGCCTCTGTCCAGCTCCCAGGGAGTCTGTCTCCCTCCTGCCCCAGCAAGAGCTTCTGGGTGAGCCTCGCTGGCGCTGCCGCCCCGGGTTTCCTGCTTCCTGGCCATGGCCTGCTGCACGTCCGCGGACTCCACCACCCGGCACGTAGCCCCACTCGGGTCAGAGCTTCGTCAAAGCCGAGGTGGGGTTCTGAGGTTCTCACCGAGATCCAACCCAACCCGTGTAGTCTGTTGTCTCGGTCCTGGCGGGGGGGTTCTCCTAGGCGTCGGCGCCCTGCGCTCGGAAGTCCGTTTACATGTTAGTGGAACCCTCTGTTAACTGTTTTTCTTCATGTTAAATGTTTCTATCTTTTAGCTGGGTGTGGTGGCTCATACCTGTAATCCCAGCACTTTGGGGGGCCGAGGCGGGTGGATCACAAGGTCAAGATTTCAAGACCAGCCTGACCAACATGGTGAAACCCTGTCTCTACAAAGAATACAAAAATGACCTGGGTGTCATGGCGCATGCCTGTAATCCTAACTAGGTAGTCTGCCTAAAGTTTGTCAATTTTACCTTTCAGAAAAACCTTTTATTTTATTAATCTTTTGTATTTTCTTCATTTCACTTCATTTGTTTCTTCTCTGACTTTTATTTCTTTTCTTCTCCTAATTTTGGGTTGGGTTTGCTATTGCCTTTCTATTTCTTTAAAGTGCATTGTTACATTGTTTAATTAAAGTTTTTTTCTTTTAAGATAGAGTCTCACACTATCCGCCGGGCTGGAATGCAATGACGTAATCTCGGCTCACTGACACCCCTGCCTCCTGGGTTGAAGTGATTCTCCTGCCTCAGCCTCCCAAGTAGCTGGGATTATAGGTGCTGGCCACATGCCTAGCCAATTTTTTGTACGTTTAATAGGGACCAGGCTTCACTATGTTGGCTGCGCTGGTCTCAAACTCCTGACCTCGTGATCCATGTGCCTCAGCCTCCCAAAGTGCTGGGATTACAGACATGAGCCACCACACCCAGCCTCTTTTTTTTTTCTAGT